ATCACTGTGAAACTGGCAAACATATTGGTGATTTTTATAAAAAGCTACTATTGCCATGACAACTGACAACTGAACTGATATTTTAATAGATAATTTAAATTTGAAATGTTCTTAGTTTACTTAATCGATTGTTTGATTAATATATGTACACAATACTTCTAGAGTAAAATATGAGCAACATCTAAATTGATACTTAGGAAAGGTAAGGTTTGGTACCAGCACCTCTTTCGGCAAGAGGCAAAATTTTGGAAGGTGCCCCAAAGCCTATGTCGTAAACAATTTTTTTGGACCACTCTAATGTACATATGTACGTACATGCATGTTCGTTTATTTTAGTATTTTATTTATCGTTTGGTTTCGCTTTCTTTAATTACGAGTATCACTATGTTTTCTCTATACGGTTCCGCTTCATTGCATTTGTTTAGTTTTTGTTTTGGTATATTTTAAAGTTTTCGTTTAACACACCAGCATCTATTGTCTTTTCGGTTACTCATACGTCGCGTAGTTCACATTTTGCTTTAATTTTATTTTGATTCATTTACAATCATCGCCTGTGATAAATTTGCACAAATGTTTATAAATTAATTTCATCTGTTCTCTATTCCGTTTTTACTTAGCTATAATACTGCTTATTTTCAGTTTAGCTTTTTTTATTTCGCTTGGTATTCGTAAATATTTATTTTATTTTAACCCAATTGAGGTCTACTTTTCCATGCACTATGTTAATTTTGTAGCGTTTGTCATTGGATATATATATTTATGTAGTATTTTACTTTAGCTTATATTCATGTTTTCAATTCTAAAATTTTCAATTTGTAACTTTAATAAAAGTTTTCAGATACTACCAGCCTTTTTTTCTGTTCCCAATACTCGAGAAAGGCTGCGCCGGTTTTTTTTTTGAAATTTCCGACACCTACTGCAGTCTCTGCAATCATGATTATAGGCTAAAATTAATTTCGATACATGAAGGGGGCATAGCACCTTGCATACCAACTGAAATTTTCATACTGCATACCTCAGGAAGTGTTCATTCTTGAATAGTAGAACTTGGTGTAGAGATATATGAAATCAATCTCCCATTCATAGAAAAATGGTTATTATTTGAAAAGGGGGGCGTGGCACCTCCCATACATATTGAAATTTTCCTACATGGAACTAATCACATACTCACAGAGAGAAGTATGGCCTATTGAAAAAGATAATTTTCTTTGGAAGTATTTGAAGTAGGGTACTGAAATTGTTTACAGTGATTTATATTAGTAATACCGTATTGACAGAGAAAAATTGAGTTAAGGGCAAATGGGACGTGATACCTCCCACATAAAATGAAATTTGTATGATACATTCAAATGTATGCACATCCAAAAGCATTTAGCTAGAGTACTGACGTAGAAGAGAAAAAACTCATATGCAATATGGCTTCAGAAAAGGTCGCACTACCATTTAAAAAGTTCAAACACTTGTTGAAGTAATACCCTCGCCTTTCGAACAAAAAAAATTTTGCACCTCCGCGTTTCTTGATATTTCATAAGCTTTTGACCGCGTCTGGCACGAATCACCCTCCTAGTCTTATTTAGGCTTACCAAAAGCAACAAGGTAATCACAGGAAAGGAATCGCTCTTACCACTGGGTGCACTCCATACATGTTGTGAGTTTTATTATCAGTACCAGATTGACCGAGCTTTGCTCGAAGTGCATATACTTTTTAATGTTTTCAAGGTCTGGGTATCAAATACGGGTTCGTTAAATAGCTTAAAAAGGAATATTTTGAAAAGCAATTTAAAAAAGTGTTGGCTTTTGATATTTTGTGACAAAAGTAAAGTTCTTACTTCAAAAATTAGGTGGAAACCCCATCTGAAAATACGCTGGGTTGAAGAGTACATATACTGGGCGTATATGTAGTGCATATACACCAAAAAAAAAATGCTTATTGGAATTAACAAAATATATTTTTATATTAAAAATACATTCCACCCTTATCGTAAATAATTACGGAATAAACTTCTCAAAAATCCCTTTCATTTTATACTCATATTGCGTTATTTTAGTTAAATTTTAAAGAATCGAAAATAAATGGCAACCTTAACTAATATCCCAAGGGATAACAATTAGTATATAAGCAAATCATTGCTTAAGTGCCATCGTTTAGTATTCATGAATAGTATCTTTATTTTCTAAACAAAAAAATAAAAAAATGTGGGATTCAAAATAGATGGCAACCTTTTTCAAAAATATTTCTGGGGTTTTAAAATACCTTCCAGTTGATACCCATATTTTAATGTTTTATTTAATTTCTAGCTAATTATGAATAGGTGGCAATCTTTAACGAGTATGCGCGGAGGTAATACCCATCTAGGTAATCTTATAATACAAAAACATTATGTGTATACAAAATTTTATCAAAATCGTTAATCGTTAGAGGCGTTTTCGAGAAACCTTTGGATATATGATAAGATAAAAAAATTGATAAATTTTTAATTCAGATCAGAATAAAAATTGGATATCGATAAATACATATATAGGTATATATCGATACCCACATCGATAAATATATCAATAACGATAACTTTAACGACATACATAATGACGTCGATTAGAGTTTCAATAAATATATCGATTATACTATCGAAAAATAAGTATGTCGGAATTATTATTTAAACGTATATCGATAGTCAGCGATAAATAAAAACTTCGATACAAATATCGGTAAATATTTATGTTAAAAATAATCAATTACAATATGTTATCGTAAGTAATACTTATAGTTTTACTTCGAATGAAATATGTCATTAAAGCCATCTATAAAATTTTTTACACCCAGTAGGAGTATTCAGAGTTTAGTTCTTTTTTTGCACCATAAATTTGGAATTAAATACATAAATGAATCGGTTAATTACCAAAGGGAATAAGTCAGCATTTTTCCGCTATGGAAAATTTGAGTGCAGTTCAACAGAGCTCATTTAAACGAACCGAACACGCGAGGATAGGATCGACACTCACTATCTATTTGTCGCATACAAGCCGCTCTCGACAGCACTAAAAGGAGTTACGTATACGCCGCGTTGTCTAAATTTGATATGCGCGCGATATTAATACGGCTGTGTAAAATGACGTTGAACCCCTAAAAATTTCTAACCAAGAAAAAATTAAATTGTAAGCTCTAAAAATGCTTTTTTTTAAAGTCTCAATTTGACAATTTTTTACCGAAATACGGCCTGTCAAAAATCACTGGAAAATTTGGTAATTTTCTTGCTCCTTTAATTTTTTGGTGTAGTGTATTATCATAGGATTTATTTTCATATGGCCATTGGAGTTGCGGGTTACACGTAACAGTTCTTTTCACAGTATCGGTCATATCTATAGCACGCCATTTCAAAGTGATATCGTTTGCCCCTTATGTTTATGTTTTTTTATTCTTAAGAATTTTCAATTCAAATACAATTCATTCTCTTACAAACCCCATATTAACCAAAGTTTAAAACTTTGTAAAAAACTATAACAAATGCAACAAATTTTAACCCAAACTTCTAACTTTTTTCTCGGAAGAGCTAGAATTTTTTTGAGTACACAATTTTTTAGCCCATTCAATTTTAGTCTGATAACGTGCAAGTTTTAAGTGGCTAAAAATGACCGCTGATTTTTTATATATATTTTCTTCGTCGAAGGTGTTGCGGTTTTCTACATATAGAAAAAAATTTAGTTTATTCGTTATATGGAAACAAATACGACAAAAAAATCTAAAAAATCAACGGTAATTGTTAGCCACTTAAAACTTGCACATTATCAGACTAAAATTGAAGGGGCTATAAAACTGTATACTCAAAAAAAATTCTAACACTTCTAAAAAAAGTTTGAAATTTGGGTGAAAAATTGTTGAATTCTTTTGTAGTTGTAGAATAAACTGTATTTTAATTGAAAATTTTTAAAAATTAAAAAATAAACATAAGTGGTAAGCTATAAATATGACCGATACCGTATGTATGTTAGGGCGGGTCAATTTGTACGGGGGAGTTTTACGCCACAGGAGGAATTTGGAGATTGCCAAATTGCGAAAATCGTTTTCTTAGCTTTTTTGATGTAGTTTCGTAAAGAAGTGCTTAAATTTTAAAAACGTATCTCTTTCTTAAAACTTCCAGTAGAGGGCGCAAGAGTAAAAATTTTAAACTTTTCTTCAAAATCTATTTTCGCAATTTGACAAACTCCAAATAGGTTTTAGACCCATGGTTTCTTCAGCAAATGTGCTTAGAATTATAGGTAGAATCCTCCAATGCTATGCGCGCACAGTCAAAACAAATTGACCCGCCCTAAGGTATGTACTTTCGAGTTTCACATTTTTAGTTTTTTCGTGTATTTAAGCACCAGAACATGTAAATTCCTTTCGGAGAGTAATTATTTTCATACAGTTATGACAACCGTCACAAACAGGAAGTGGTAAAGTTAATTTTTGTATGAAAAGACCCACTGTAGGTGCAAAAATACTTTACATATACTAAAAAAAAATAGGCCTTAACTAAATGATCGCGAAAAAATGTCACTCGCTCTCCTACTATAAGTTCAACACTAAAAAATTTTTCAATTTAGGATTATACTAAGTAATTTTCAACACCCAAGTACCATTTGTGCTGCTGAGGCCCCAATAGTCCTCCATATTGCTGCTATTTGATCACACTCCTTTGCTGTGGCGACGCGGTTATTCCTTCGCTTTATATATAGTATATACGGCGCTGCAAGCTGCCAGTTAAGTGCGCGTGTACTCAGAAAATGTGTATCACCTTGAAAGCAAACCACTAAAAGCCAAAAAAAAAACACGTTTCCACACTCTTAACTTTTATGCGATTTCACATAGATTTGGATTTAGGGATTTCCAAACAAAACAAATAAAATTTTTCAGTATTCTTCACTGTCATAACTTTCTTTTCGCTGGCTGATAAAAATTGTCTACTTTGTGTGATGTTCCACTCGCGCACTATTCAACGAGTAATCCAGCCGCCGCGAATGAAATGCTCGCACTGCCCGCAAACGTTCACCAATTCGTGCGCTGTACCACCGTCACTGTACGCGTCTTCGTGGCTGTCACCTGCGACGACGTCTATGCCCAGATCGAGTGTATGCCACTCGCTACTAAATGCGACCGGATACCGTTTAAGCGCGCTGTGAAGCTTTCGGCAAATCTTCTGAGATGATTGAGTAGCGGCTTAAGCATTTGCGCGACATACTAAGTATAAAAGTATCTATAGAAAAAATATCTACATATATAAATGTCGCCTATAATAAAACGTTTGCGCCTTTCCGTCTTCGTTTACGCCGTATGCGTTGTCGGCTTTTTTGTTCGTTGCCGCCGCCTTAGACGTATCGCCTTCAGCGAATTGGTGCCGCGCTTTGACGAGTTTCAATCGACTATAAGACTATGGCATTCAACGTCCTATTGCCGTCTAAACTATTTGTTTATTGTTCTTTTTTTTTAATTAAAAATTCGGTATTTACTCAAAGGAATTACTTAGGTACGTGAAAAATTTAACGCGACGCCGCCATTGCCACAGCCGTTCAACAATATACTGAAACGTGGATCATTTTGATGCACCGTTCCGACTTAGTGACTACGAGTAAGCTCGAATACAGAACGAAAACATCGCGACGCGGCATAATCCATGACAATTGACAGTGATGACAACAATTGGGGCTGCTACTCGTATTTGTTAGTGTGCAGCTACCGAATTGCCGCAAGTCGAATGAAAAGCGTGACAAACGGAAAGCGCTATTTGTTGACGCGTTGCGAGTGTAAGTATGTAGATATGTACTTACAATTTGTGCAAATGTTTGATGGCGCGGGCTCTCATTTATCGGTAGATTGTGCCTGCCACAGCGGCTGCTCGTACAGATCATCGCTGGGGTCGCAGAGAAGCTGCGATCAAATGCGCAAACACCCACCCACCTTACAGCGCAACATACTACCTAGGAGCTTTATTTTTGGCTTAATTATTATCGTATTTGTATATATGTAAGTAAGTATGTATATATGTATGCGTATCGTATATATTTATATGTACTTGCATGCATGTATAGATCTACGTTAATGTGGGTACGTCAGATGCCAATTTTCATATTTAGGTATGCGTGCCTTATTCAGCCAAGGCGGCGTAAGTCAGCGCTAAAATTCAGATAGAATTCATTTGGTTGAAAATTTGAAGCGAGAAAATAAATGGTTGAGTTAAAACCAACTAAAACCAAATTAAGCTTTTATTGTATTTTTCCGTGCAGCGGGGTTTAAAAGGCCCAATGTATCATCCAAGCTACCAAAAGTGGTATGTCCGAAGGGTAAAAAACGCCCTTCGTCGCCTATGTGTTTGCAACGTCTGAGTTAGAATCTCCAAATGTGTATCTATAGTCCTCTGCTTGGCCATTTTGTGAAGGTATTTCCTTAAGTACCCTTAATTAAATATTACGCAACTGTGTGATGTAGCATTTAATGTCCCCAAATCTGCGTCGCTTTCCAACTGTTCCGCGGCTAGCTATCCCAGCGTTCCTGCCATTACGCAATTTTATTTCCTTCCATGCCTGGCTGCTTGGCCCTGCCTCTGTCTAATATTTCATTGCATTTTTCTTCCTCGCCCCAATATGCGTACAGCTGGTCTGGAAACATTATGCCATGCGGAAGCGATCCGCAAAACTAACGTAGGCTGCGCACGAGACAAAATTTTTCTGCGGCATTCTGTTTGAGAGTTGGTCGCCGTAAAGTAACACAGATGTTGTCGTAAACATAAGAAGCTGTCCCTTGTACTGCGCCTGCCAACAGTATTGGTCATGACTCAGCACATCGAAGACAGTATTTTCGTTACTTTTTCCGTCGCATGCTGTGTCTTCCCCGAAAATTTAAGTCTAGTATCGTATCTATGGCTGCTTTTTTGGTTTAAAAATTCCGGCACGCGTCTGCAAATCCATATCCAGTGAAATGTGCGTGTTTGTGAGGAGAACGAGTTCTGATCTTTTCTGTCGGTAGCTCAAGGCTTTGTTCTTCTAGCCACGTTTGAGTTAGGATCAAAGCATGGTTAAGTGTTTTGTGAGCTTCTTTGGTATTCGATGGTCTCTTCCATGGCCTCAGAATAAAGCTTANTCGGTAGCTCAAGGCTTTGTTCTTCTAGCCACGTTTGAGTTAGGATCAAAACATGGTTAAGTGTTTTGTGAGCTTCTTTGGTATTCGATGGTCTCTTCCATGGCCTCAGAATAAAGCTCTATGTTCCTAGTATGCTCAGAGTTAACATACGTCAGTTCTTAATTTCATAAATAGCTGCTCACCATATTTCGTAGGTATAGAGGTACATAATTTTGTCACATCTTCTTTCGGTGGCTCTAACATGTTGGCCCATCTTGCTACGATAAATTCGTTTTAATGCCTAAAATCTCCTTTAAGTGAATGCCACGCTCGCTGTTACGCATTCGATTGCTGCTATTGTTGAAGCCTTGGGTCACGGCAGAAATGGAGGGAGCTTCGGTGGGGCCACACCGAGTTATTACGTTTAAGGGCTCACTGAAGCGGGTATCTGCTTGGAGCAAGCGGCTAGCTATATAAACGTGTATTTGGTTGCGAAACCACCCCCGTCCCAGCGATGGGTTGTGCGCTGGGTTTGATACCCGCCACGTAAAAACAGGCTCCAATTATAAAGAGAGACAAAGCCTCGGATGAGAATCCCTTTTTTGATGACGACCACGGCAAAAGTTTAAACGACTACGATTTGAAGGCATGCACCTGGAATGTCCGGGCCCCTAATGAGCAAGGTGCCTCTGCCTGGCTGATTGATTTCCTCGTAAGGACAAAAGCAGACATCACCGCCATCCAATAAATGCGCTGCACGGAGCAAGGCAAAAAATGTATGGGACCTTGCGGCGCCTACTACAACTGCCATGTAAAGCAGCGCCAATTCGGTGTTGGATTTGTGGTGGGGGAGAGACTCCATCGTTAACCCCGGTGGACGAGCGTCTAGCCACAATCCGCATCAAAACGAGATTCTTCAACATATCGATAATCTGCGCCCAAGCCCAGTCGGAAGAGGTGGACGAGGCGTCCAAGAATCTCTTATACAAGCGTTTGGAGCGCACATACGAGCACTGCCCGGCCATATAAAAATCGTACCTGGCGACTTCAAAGCCAGGGTGGGCAAGGAATGGATGTTTGGAACCGCCGTCGGAAAATTCTGCCTCAATGACGAAACGTCTGACAACGGACTGAGGCTGATCGACTTCGCGGAGCCCAAAACATGGTACTAGGTGGTAGTACTAGGTTCAGGCTACGTGGCTGTCTCCAGATCGAAAAACGAGAAAAATCGAATCGATCATGTTTTGATAGACGGAAGGCACGCTTCCAGTATTTTAGGCGTACGAGCTTGGAGTCTAAGATACGCACCCGCCTCTGCGTAGCAAAAAATTTGCGCCCAAAAATGCAAGGAAACCTTAATGTCGAAAAGCTGAGATCACAACAGACGATCAGTGCATTAGCTACTCACACTCCACCTGCTCTCAGAGAGCACTCTTCAATAAACCGACATGTGGTTCCATTTTCCGCTCATTAAGTACCGCCGCCGAAGAAGTAGTTGGATTTCAGCTAGCCCGAAAGAACAACTGGTACGATGAACAGTGTAAAGAAGCTGCAGAGAAAAAAGATGCCACCTACCGGGCCACGCTGTGATCGGGCGCAACGCGAGCTATGTGGGAATAGAGGGGCAGAAATATGTGAGTGCGAAGAGCTTGAAATGATTACCGACAGGGATAATGCACGAAAATTTTACCAGATAGTTAGGTGAATTACGGAAGGCTTCATGACCGGGGCGAAGACGTGTAAGAACAACAATGGCGACCTAGTAACCGTTGTCCATAACGTACTTAAATTATGGAGGCAACACTTTTCCGCCTTTCTGAATAGTAGCTGCACGAAAAATTGTGGAGAAGACGAACCCGAGCCCCCAGTCGAAGATGACGAAGTCGATGTTCCACTGCCTGACTGTGACGAGGTATGAATAGCAATTACGCGGATGAAAAAAGGTGCGAGGTGCCAGCTAAACTATTCAAGTCCGGCGGCGAGGAGCTGATAAGGTTCATGCATCTACTCCTATGCAGATCAAGTGGATAAAAACTTGGCTTCACTTGGCATTTCCAATTGGCATCAGTTGGTACAGAAGACAAATGACTGGGGTGCTTTGTTGGACTCGGCCGAAATTGCTTAGGAGCTACAGTGCAAAACAAGGAGAAGAAGAAGAATAAAACAAAATAAAACGAAATAAAATAAAATGAAATTATCTATGTATAGTAAATTAAAGTAAAGAAATAAAAATGTAGATATTTTTAGCCCCACCTAAATATTGTAATGACCTCGGCCAACAAAGTCACTCACAAATTGCGGTATTTTTGACCACTTATACCTAATTTGTTTTTAGTTTTAGTTATTTCTCATATTACTACTAATTAAGTAGTCAATTCCATCGCATGCTTTTTTTTGCTATTGTAAATATACATACATAATACCCACTAGAAAAAGTTTCCGTACAGAGATTTCTGTTTACAATATTCATATGGCCTTATTCATCAAATTTAAAATAGATTTATAAAGTGACATTTTCATACCAATTTTCGATTTATAAAGCAGTTAAAGTGTTCATTTTTTATGAATTCGGGTGATATTGTTTTTCAATTTAGTTTCGCAATTTTTTTATAAAAATATAATTTATTTTATAATATTAACAATTTAAATAGAAGCTTCAAACTTTACTTTACATACCACTAAATTTGAATACAATAATGTACTGGTTTGAAGTTGCCAAAATATCCCGTTGATTTTTGATAATTTTTTTTTGTGACGGTGTCACTTGGTTTTTTCCATATAAAGTACATAGGTTGTCCTATTATAGAAAGGTCCAATTTGCTTTTAAAATTCAGCATTGTACAAAACTCGGTAGATTACTCACTAAGGGCCTAATAAAATTTTAAACCAAATACTCTACCTCAATAAATCAAAATTCGCTGAATTTTTCTAAATTTTAGAAAGAGATTCAAACTCAATTTAAATGGTTTACGTTGTAGAATAAACTATATTTTCATAAAAAATTAACGAAAATTTTTGTATGTAAAATATGAAATTAAAAAAAAATATATATCTGTAAGGTATCTTTTTCTAGTG